TGGCTTGATCATGATGAAGGACCCAAACACTATCTAAAACCAAAATTGCACCAACAGATTACAGTGACTGTCTGGTGGTCCGCCATTGGCATTATTCAGTATAGCTCTCTGGAATCAAACCAGAGCATCACTGTCAAAGCTAAGTTTTTTCTTTTTTAAGCATTTCACCCCAAGCAAGGTGGGTATGCCACTAGTACGCAGGGGATCACAGAGAATGAAAGTAAGAGAAAAGACTGGTTATAGGGTAGATTAAGGAAATAATAAAAGAAGAACAGGATTCAAGAAGATAAAAGAGTGACGTTGCATTAAAATTTTTGAAAATTATTGTTATCAGGAAGCAAATAAATGAAAAGGAGCTACACAGGCAGGGAGTGCGAGCAAAGAAACTGTTGGAGTAGAAGTGACAGTTACATTTAACTATTTCAACAGTATAAGGGTGGGATCTAGATACCAATTTTGCAGGACGCCTAAATTTACGTAAAAATTACGTAAACGTCGCATCAGGGAAAATATGCTGTTCAGAGCAGTTGCCATATTGCAAGAATAATACTGGAGAAGCTCACTGACTAAGGCTGCCTGCTAGTACACCGACTGACTATCGACCTTCGACCCTCCCCAAGCAGTCTCATATTCATTTTCTGGTTGCTAAAAACCATCTGCCCTGGGCTATGACTGTCAGCCCGTGCTGGGTATGACGATAAACTACATCCGCGTTCTGGGCAAGACAGCAAGGTTTTGAGGAGCGTGGAACCACCTCCTAATTGCTGGTGTTCATAGGTCCACCCTGACCCGGGGTGGTAGCACCTGTCAGGGTCCCAGCTATGGACAAATAGTTACCACTCGCCTCCGAAAAAAGAAAAAAAAAACTATGAAAGTATAAAAATAGGTTTTATTACAAGCAATACTTTAAAAAATTTTACATCGTTGGAAAAATATCGCCAGCATTATATTTTTGTAAAAAAATATTAGCACCAATACATTTTTGAAGGAAAAAATATTACCAACAATATATTTTTGAAAAATATTACCACTAATAAAAAAAAAAACTTGTCGGCATTAAATTAACCTTGGTATGTCATAAAACAAACCAAATCAAACCAAACGACTAATAGTTAGTACCAACCCAATACGCCAACTGTTTATCAAGCCTCGGCACCACTCATGTTGCTCCGCTCATCATCAACTGTTGTAGCATCTAAGACTAATAGTCAACTACCAGGACGACCACCCAAGACATTTCAAACATCCGGATTCTTAGATTGCATTTTCCTTTTTTTCCTGGCCTGAGTCACTTCATTTTTTTTTTTGTTTGTTTGCGGAGTTCGTCTAACATCGACATGCGGACACCACAACAGGTTCCGTTGCAAAGAAGATGCCGAAAATGTATTCAAAGATTTCTTTAGAAATTTATCGTAAAGACAAACATAACCTTGTAAATTTTAGCTTTTAGCTTTTTAAATTTTATATTTTATTTTGTTTCTGTGTATTAGTAGGGGTGGCTATAGAGACCAAAAATTTGCAAAAAAAAGTGTTTTATTCCGCTCATTTGTGTCCAAACAGAAAGAAAATCTTGTCGGCATTAAATAACCCATTGAGGTTGATGTGTCGTACAACAAAACAAGCCAAGTGTCCTGGGTAAGACGATAAACTACATCCAACAGCAAGGCCTCTGATCAGGAGGCTTTGAAGAGAGTGGAACCACCTCTTAATTGCTGGTGTTCCCAGGTCCACACTGACCCGGGGTGGTAGCATTTGTTAAGGTCCCAGCTATGGGCAAATAGTTAACCCCAAAACACTATGAAAGTGTAAAAATAGGTTTTAATACCAGAAAAACATTGTAAAAAAGTTATTACTTTTTGAAGAAAAAAATTATTACCAGCAATACGTTTTTGAAAAAAATATTACCAGCTATACTTTTTTGAAGAAAAAATATTACCAGAAATAGATTTTTGAAGGGAAAAGATTTTACCAGCAATACATTTGATAAAAAAAATTACCAGCAATAAAAACTTTGTTGACGTTGAATAACCCATAGAGGTTGGTTTGGTTTATTTTGTTTTACGGCATATCAACCTCATTGGGTTATTTAATGCCAACAACATTTTTAGGATAGTTCCGTATTAATAAAATATGTATTCTTTGGTTTAGATTGGTTTGGTTTATTTTGTTTTACAGCATATCAACCTAATTTTTTATTGCTGGTAATATTTAGTTTTGTTAAAAATTTGTTTCTGGTAATATTTTTCCGTCAAAATTGTATTGCTGGTAATAATTTTTTTCAAAAAAGTATTGCTGGTAATAGTTAACTATTTACCCATAGCTGGGACCCTAACAGGTGCTACCACCCTGAGTCAGGATGAACCTGGGAATACTAGCAATTAAGAGGTGGTTCCACGCTCCTCAAAACTTCCTGATCAGAGGCCTTGCTGTTGGATGTAGTTTAACGTCTTACCCAGGACGCGGATGTAGTTTAACGTCTTACCCAGGACGCGGATGTAATTTAACGCCTTACCCAGGACGCGGATGTAGTTTAACGCCTTACCCAGGACGCGGATGTAGTTTAACGCCTTACCCAGAACCCCCATTGAGGTTGATATGCCATAAAACAAACCAAGCCAAGCCAAGCCAAGCCAAGCCAAACCAAACCAAGCCAAGCCAAACCAAACCAAACCAAACCAAGCCAAACCAAACCAAACCAAACCACCACTATGAGGTGGCTCCCCTCTGTCTTTTTTTATAGATATTTTCATGGCCGTTGCTCTAATGAGTTTTCTCCCTTGGTAACTCGACTGTATTAATTTCAGCGCGCTTTTTTTTTAATCAGTACCACCCCGTGCGGGGCAGTAAAGCCATTAAGACACAAGGGGTTACAGGATGTGGAAGATATAGGAACAGAAACATTAATAATGAACAGGAAGAAGAAAGAGTAATCAGGAGGACAGTAGATAGAGATTGACATTGCATTTAAAATTGTTTTACCATTGATTATTGGCTATTAGATCTCATTGTTTTACTGTTGATTATTGGCTATTAGGTCATATTGTTTTACCGTTGATTATTAGCTATTAGGTCTTATTGTCGAAATAATTATATGTAACTGTAAGTTCTGTTCACATCGTCTTTTTGTCGAATGTCTTACCAGTGAAACCTCTTCCTGTTTTTTCTTCTCTGCCTCCTACAATCTTCCAAAATGGTAATCCCCATATTCTGTGTTCCTGAAACTTGTTCTTTTATTGTCTTTTTCACTAAATTCTCTTCATTCTCTTTAGTTCCCAGTAACCCATTATATGTTAGAGACATTATCATCATACTTGGGGTGAAATGTTTAAAAGAAATGTTAAATGTTAAATGTTATATTCAGATTTAATGGACTTTCTGCTTTATCGTACATCTACCTCACCCAACGTTTTTTTTTTCAGTTGGTTTAATCAAGATACGAATATTTGAGTTTGTACCGAAACGAATGCAAACGATTTGCTGACTTGTATCCTTTTGAGATTTTAAAAGCGAAAACATGGCGCGGTTAGTGGGGGGGGGGAGGTAACAGCAGGCATCTGGATGTCCTCCGTTATCAGGAAGAAGGGGGCAAAGGCAAAGTTTTCTTTCATTTTTTTTTGTTATCTTGGTTAACTGTGTTACTTCGCAGTTAGTGAAGTTTAAGAGAACAAAATGATAAAATGGCTGAGAATTGGGACAAACATTTGCTACTTAAAGAAAGGAAAAGATGAAAGACAGAATGAATAGAAAAGGATGGGAAAGAAAGAAAGAATGAAAGAAAAAAGAATGTAGGAAAGAAAGAAAGAAAGAAAGAAAGAAAGAAAGAAAAAAGAATGAGAAAGAATCGATGGAAATTAGAAAGAAAGAGTGAATAGAAAAGAATGGAAAAGAAAGAAAGAAAGAATGAATGAAAGCAAGAAAAAAAGAAAGAATGAAAGAAAAAAGAAAGTAGGAAGGAAAGAAAGAAAGAAAAGGAAAGAAAAAAGAATGAGAAAGAATCGATGGAAATTAGAAAGAAAGAGTGAATAGAAAAGAATGGAAAAAAGAAAGAAAAAAAAAAAGAATGAAAGAAAAATTATGAAAAAAAAAAGAATGAAAGAAAGACAAGTAAAAGAAGGAAGGAAAGAAAGAAAGAAAGAAAAGGAAAGAAAAAAGAATGAGAAAGAATCGATGGAAATTAGAAAGAAAGAGTGAATAGAAAAGAATGGAAAAGAAAGAAAGAAAGAATGAAAGAAAGAAAGAAAAATGAAATGAGAAAAAAAAGGAAAAGAAACATGTCAAAGGAAAAATAGAAAATTATGGAAAAAAGAACGGAATATTGAAAAATTAGAAAGAAAGACAGAAAACAAGAATGAAAGAAAAAGAAACGAATAAAGTAAAAAGAAGAATTTAAATGAAAGGATAGAAAATATAGAAAAGAGAGAAAGAAAGAACGGAATAATGAAAACCAGAAAGAAAGAAAAGAAAGAAAAAA